AGTAAACTAGAAAAAGATTGAATTTTTTAATTAAAAATTTGAAAAAAGTTGATCTTATGGGAGATTTATGATGTTAAAAAGGGCCCTCTATATATCCCATAAGAATACGTGTAAATTCGTCAGCTGTGAACTGTCACTCTATGTTTTGGGTCCAGGCCTATATTTCTGTCAGCCGTGGTATGTACTGTTTACGTTTCATAAATATTTTAAAATTTGAAGCTTAATTCCTATTTTATACTGAAAAAAGTTTTTTGAACTTTTCCTTCTGGTTTATTTGTTATACCAGATTTTTTTCTTGTGAGCAATGACGTCACTGTATTCTTTTTTTAAAGTTTTTTTAAAGTTGAAAAAGAAAGTTCAAAATGAAGGTTTTTGGTCAAACTTTTGTTCGAAATTTCAAATTAATATATTTAAAATTTTTAAATTTTACATGCAAAAATGTCGTTAAAATTAAGATTTATTATGATCGGCAAAGCGCATGAAATTTTTTGCGAATATATATTTTTATATTATAATATATATATTTCATAATATATGTATATATTTTTTATTTTATAGTATCATGATTAGCGAATTCGCCTACATTTTAGGTGAATGAGCTGTCAAATCCGTCGAACGAAAATTCTGTATGACAACCTTGGCGAATGAAACCAAAAATCAAAATAATACATATGTTAAGTGTTTTTTTTTAATTTAATATTATAAAATTTAATATTATATATATTAAAATAAATTCATAAAATTCTACAAATTATTGTAAAAAATATTGTTTGTTTAATATTAATTTAAGCGTGAAAAAAGCAAGCCTAAAACAATTCGAGCATTTAATTACACATATAAATTAATGGACAACAACCCCGTAATTGCTAAAGCATATAAAAATTCAAGTTTTTGCAAAAAAGCAAAAACAATGAACATATGTGTGGTAGAACTATCGATGGAACTATCAATAGTTTTAAAGTATCGAAACTATCGATTGTTTTAAAATCGATGTAATACTATTGCCAAATGAACATCACTTCCTATCAGTTACTAAATTTTGAGAAATGGGCGAAAACGGAATATAGTTTTGATTTTCATGAATTCCATAACATAATTTTCAAACGTATCGTATATACATTCAAATTTCACTGATTTAATTTACATTCAAATTTCACTAAATACACCAGTGAAAATTGAAAATTACTTCTTTCAATTACTATGTTATTTTATTCCAAATATTTCGTAAACACGTGAAGTGAAGCTGGCATTGAGTTTCATTATATTCTTAATATTCCTTATTTAGAATGAACAAGTTTAACACACAATGTGCCGTTTGAGTACTGAATTTACTACACAGCAAGTTGCGTTACGAAACTATCGATATATCGAAACTATCGATATAACGATAGTTTTGCATCTACATCTACGGTTCAATTTCGGTAGGTTTTCTGATGTCTTGCGGCAACATTCTGGATTTGGCGAAAAAAAGCATTCGCCGATCATAATTTAATCATCCATATCATTCGATTCGCCTAATCATTCGGTTTTTCCATCATAATAAGCGTATAATTCTATATTCGTCAACTTGGTGCATTCAATTAATGCGTTTATGGCTTTTGACATCATATGTCTTTATGCATATCATTGATTTTTCTTTTTGCTGCGTCATTTGGTTCGAATTGAAATCGTGATATTTTGACTTCCTACTCTTTAAATTCTGCTTCAATTAAAGATCTCGAAAATTTCCTTCAAAGTTTACTTATCTATTAATAAATAGATCGACTCCATCCATTCCGTTAGTTTTAGTTTGCATTTTGCTTCCAAATTCTTAAAATATTCCATTTTTATTTAGAAATAAATGGTAGTAAGAGCTGTGTAGGCAAGAAAGAAACAAAATATTGCAAACAAACGAGTGAATCAAAAACATTGAACTGAAATAAAATTAAATTAAGTTAGGTAAAAATTTTTATTTTGATGATAACAAAATTTATTTTTCATTTTATTAAAGTTAGGTAAAAAATTTGAATGCATGAAAGCAAATACTTATTTTAAATATTTTAATTACAAATACTTAACACTAAATATTTTAAATATGTTCAAAAGAACATATTACCTCTCCACATCTTTTGGCAACAAATAAAATTATCGTGTCGGCTTTTTCACCTCACTCACAAAATTACATCCCAAACACTTCAAATAATGTTTACCCATTATTATAAAAAAATGATTATTTTTTACAACTATTTAATTTTTTTTTAATATTATGTCTTTTTAAAATTTATTTTTATTATTTTTCAAAATTATATTACATAAATTGTAATAATTTTGTTAAAACACCTTTTTTCCGCTTCGTTTTTATAATACGAATACACCTTTTTTGCCACCTTGCACTGAAATAAGTTACAGAAATAAAACTTCCGCTTTTAAAATTCTTAATATTTTTTCCTATACTTTATATACGAAAAAATAAATATCTCCCGCTTTTAAAAATACTTTACTTTGGTTTCGTGAAAATTTTTTTTACCTTCAAAATGCAGATTTTATTTTAAAACAAGTAAAAACGTTTCAGTCGGTATAAACCGATTGAATTATACCCTGCACCTTTCGTTATTGTGTAGCAATAACTCGAACCTGTGAAATCATTTAATAGAAACTTCACGGATATGTCTGACCTATAATTGGACATCCAACTGCTAAGTTTCATGAATCTGACTTTATTATTTTTCCAAATATTTAAAATCAGCTTTTGGAGTTGTATGGCAAGTACCTGAACCTGTCAAGCAATTCCATCAAAACTTCTCAAATATATCTGATCTATAATCAGACACACAACTGCCAAGTTTCATGAATCTGACTTTATTTTTCCAAATATTAAGAATAAGCTTTTAGACTTGTATGGGAGCTACTCTAACCTGTCAAGCAATTCTACTAAAACTTCACAAATATATCTGATCTATAATCGGACACACAACTGCCAAGTTTCATGAATCTGACTTTGTTATTTTTCCAAATATTAAGAATAAGCTTTTAGACTTGTATGGGAGCTACTCGAACCTGTCAAACAATTCCACCTAAACTTCAGAAATATATCTGATCTATAACCCGACACACAACTGACAAGTTGCATGAATCTGATTTTATTTGTTTTTCAAATATTTAAAATTAGCTTCTGGAGTTGTATGGCAGGTACCCAAACCTGTCAGGCAATTCCTCTAAAACTTCAAAAATATATTTGACCTATAATTGGACACATGACTGCCAAGTTTCATGAATCTGACTTTATTATTTTGCCGAATATAAAAAATTTGCTGTTGGAGTTGTATGGCAGCCACCCGAACCGGTCCAGCTATTCCATTATAATTTTTAGAGCATATGTAGAATATAATTGGACACATGTATACAAAATTTTATATTTATAGCTTTATTAGTTTTTGAAACATTTAAAATAAAATCTTTGAGTTGTACGGCAGCTATCCGGACCCGTTGTCCGAATTAGTCGAAAGTTTGGTATCGATTGCATTATTCGTTTGTGAGTTATCGTGCGATCGGACGGTCGAACAGACGGAAAAGTCTAAATCGACGCAGAATTTTACGCTGAGCAAGAATATATATATATGTCCATATCGCAGATGACTCCTTCAAGTAGTTACAAACTCCATACCGAAGGGAATATTTGGGCTAATCTATTTAGCAGCACTGTACCAAACAGACTTAAAGAAAATAAGTTGGTTGACAGATTTTAAGTAGCTTACTTTTTTTATTTTTTCAAATATGTATGTATGCATATCTAAAATTGGATTTTATGGTAATATGGAATTCACCATTTCAAGCCATTACGATTGCACAAACACTTCATGGACATATCTAAGTTACCGTGACTTCCATAATGCGCTTACGATGTAAATTTTACAAAGTATCAAATTCCAAAAAGTTTAGCAAAAGCTCTTGACATTGTACACTTTTCCTAAATGCGTTTTATACGTAGTGGAGACGTAAAATTAAAGTAAATCGGGTATCGAAAAAACCGAGCACGCTTTTCTTATACCTTGTTATATAAATGTTGCCATGAATAACTAATTAAATAAATTAGAATATATTTTCAGCAATAAAGTGCCAGTTATGCAGCATAAAAATGCAATGTTTTTAATGACTTGGTAATGTTTGTTAAAAATTAACATTTGCCCAGAACTTTAGATTGAACTTTTCAAACAAACGTCAAAGTACGTAATAATATTGTAAAAATTGTATTCCAAAATGTACGAAAAGCTTTAGTAGTTTCTTATACAATGTAAAGGTATTGAAAGTTCTGAGACGGTACAACAACCGTATTAATACCGTTAATGCCTTTATATCTAACAAGTCCCAATGCTAAGAGAGAAACTTGAAAGCACGACCCTATTTTATATGGGTTTTTTTAAATCGAAGTGGCTATTTTTTGAGAAGAAATATTAAAATAAATTTACACTTATTATAAAGCAGGTAAAATTTAGAAAATATATTTGAAAAATCAAAAAAATATATTATATAAGGTCGTGCTTTCAAGTTTCTCTCTGAGCATTGGGACTTGTTAGATATAAAGACATTAATTTAAACTCTTTTTTACTTAAAAAAAAAGAAAAAAATAATAAAAAATATGACACGATCAGTGCATTTAAAGAAAAAAACAGCAACGAAGCCAAAGATTCGAATTATTTCGTAAAAAAAATTGAGTATTGGGACTTGTTAGATATAAAGATATTAATACCGTACTTAAATCTTTTTTACAGCATTATTGAAATCACGGCTAATTTGGACACATGACCGACAACTTTCAGACCCCAATAAGCACAAAATTTTTATATGCATGTAAATGAAATATGATAAAATTATATTGTTGTATATTGTTACATGGCCCTGCAATGAGAAATCACTAAGTCATTACATGCATTGAAATAAAAATAATCGGTATTTTCAATTCTCTATTGGATTCTGTCAAAGAAATGGGAAAACTGACCAACTTAATAATAAAACAACAACAGTTACTTCGATATCTTTATTTTAAGATTGATTAAAATAAAAATTGATTAATTTTATATTAATGCGTTTAATAAATATACGTTAAATTTATCACAAAAAATGTTTTTAGGTATTGCTTATTCGAAAAATGTATTTGTTGAAACATAAATTATCGATTAAAACCGTTGAAGAAGACTCATACAAATAACAATACTGAAATGGTTTAAAAAATTAAAATTATAAATGTGAAAATTGTGAATACTTTTTAATAATGTAGAAGTGTACAACCATCAAAAACTTAAGACGCCTTTAAATTAATAGAAAGTTCTTTTTTAAGTTATTAAGATTTGTAACTTAAATTTGTTATATAAATTTGTCATGTAAAATAGCTTTGAAATATTTATATGTCAAGAAAAAGTAAATGTCTATCTAAATGAGTATGTCAAGAAAAAGTAAATATAATTTTTAATATATTAACAAAAATTTTAATATGTAGGAATTTTATTTAAATTTAATCAACTTTATCAGAAAATAATTATGGCTTCTTTTTAAATTGAATTCTTTTCAATTTTTTGACATTTTTCCAAAATATATTTTTTTTTTAGATGTACGAAAAGAGAATAACTTCGGAATAAAATACTCTTATTTTTGCTAATATCGAACTTCTATCTTTGGTAACATAAAAATACTCACTACCTTCCAGAAAAGGGAGTTTTCTTTTCATACAGCTAAAAAAGAGATCAAAGCTTATTTGTTTTTTGTATTCTAGAAAATAATTTACAACACATCAAATCCCTTATTTAAAAAGTGACAGCATTTTTTATATTACATATAATTAAAGGGACTTGAAATTGGATTATAATATCCAGTAATATTCATAATCTTTAGCATATTATGCCTCCTACAAGTAATTTTTCATAATCAAATATTGAAAATTTTTCAATTTAATTGTCATAACATAATGATAAGAACTTTCAATGCGTACAGTTATTTATAAGATAAAAAAATATGGCCAAAAAATAAAAATTTTTGAAAGACTGTTAAATATTTAAATTTAGTCAATAACATTAAAAACACACTTATATGTATATTTGAATAAAGCAATTAGTACAACAGATATAAATACTTTCAACCCAACTTTTAAATTTTTTCGATTGCTACTTTGATGATGATCCTTATACTAGCGATAATTTTTCAACATTAATACATGTATTAAAAAATAATACTCATCAACAGAGGATGTCATACTATTTTTTGCTGGAAATTGATCAACCTGGAAAATCAAGCTGGAATCATCCCTAAAATTATTCGCCAACCTTGCGAAATAGAAGTACATATATATACAATGTATATTATATACTTCAACAATAAGAAAAACATACCAAAAGAACTTTGGAATAATATCTCTTGATATATAAAGAACACGGTCTATTAAAACACTGGTTTGAATTTAAATGAGACAGGGTCATTTGCACTGTAATTACAAAGATAGGTAAAACTCTATAGTGAATTCTAGGTATAAATTTGTAAAGTAAAACAAAATTTGATTTGATTAAAAGTAAAACAAAATTTGATTTGATTTAAAACCATCTTTTAAAATTTTGATTTTGTTTTGGAAAATGTTTTTTAAAAACGCCTTCTTATGTTTGATTTAGTTTTGTTTAATTTGTTTAATTTTTTATACTTTAAATCTGCAGACTTAAAAAATTGGAAAAAGATTTACTTACTTATTACAACGACTAACAGTATAACAAAAATTATCCCAATTATAATCATCATTTTCATATTTGACCACCAGTGCTTTCGCTTCAATTTATAAGCCTGTTGTTCAAACTGGGATGCATTATTTTGGAGGGTTTCTGCTCTTTCATCCAATTCTCTCAAATTTGCACCTCTTTTCAAAATGCCTTCGACATTATCTTTCATTATGTCGAGAACTTCATCTACTTCCGCCTGGGTTTTCTTAATTTTGTTTTCTTCCATTGTTTGTTGATATTGACCACTAAAATAATTCTATTAAAAGTTTCAGTTTATAAATGTAAATAAGAAGTAAAATCCACTTTTATAAAATTGATTTACAATTATTTACTTGTCTTTGTTTATATCTTGATCCTCAAAATTGTCCATTCGATGCCTGTAAACAATAAGCAATTAATATTTAATTTTAATCACTTCTGCAAAACCATTCAACAAAAAAGATTCTCATTAATTAAAGCTGACCTTATACGTGTTTGTAATATAAGTTAACATAAGGTAAATAGAACAGGCTTTGGTGAGGTCATTGCAATAATTGAGTAATATTTTACTTACAGTTTGTTGATTTAGCAGTTAACACCTACTGAAACTATTCTTATTACAAAAGAATTTAGTTCGGAATTTATAGTTGATTAACTAAAAATAAAATGATGGCATTAAAACGGCAATTAAAATTTTACTAATAGAAAAAACGCATTTCCTACTAAGGCAGCTCGAAATTAGAATATGTATCAACCAAAGTATATCTATAAACAAGTAGTTCGACTCTTCGTTTACATCACACTAATGCAATTTTTTACCAATATTTGTATACTAAAAATGTTAAGCGGTATACCTTCTTATTTTCATTTTTATACACATAAGAATTTTTAGGAGAGGGAAAGAGTACACAATGGATGAACAGGTCTACCTGTTTTTTTATAATGTGTTTTTAAAAGCGGGAGTTATTTATTTTTTCGTATATAAAATATAGGAAAAAAATTAAGAATTTTAGAAGCGGGAGTTTCATTTCTGTAACTTATTCCACTACAAGGTGGCCGAAAGGGTGTATCCGTATTATAAAAGCGAAGCGATTTAAAAACAAAATTTGACTATTAAAATAAAAAAACTTTTAATTTACGTATTATATGTATATAATTTGAAAAAGATAAAGAATATTAAAAAAAAATTGTAATTAGTAATTGTCATCACATTTGTTGTAATATAAACAATGATTTTTTTATTTTTAGTTCAATTTTGTTTTAAAAATTTAAAACAAATATTTCTTATGTATATACATACACACACACGTATCGCTAATAGTCATTTTTTTTATAAATTGCTTAATTTCTATGCCTCGTCTAAATTGCGGCTTGACGTGAAATCAGCTCGAAACTCAAGCCGCGTTTTTATTATGTTAACTTAAAAGTCCAAAAGCGACGTTTAACTATTAAGTTTAAAATCATTATTAACATTTTCAGTCTAGTAAGCGACTTGAGTGAAGCCGGTTTCGGGTCAAGTAACATTTATATAGACTATAATAAGCTTGAAGCAGCCATATAAACGGGGTATAAAAAATTATACATCATATTGTGTATCATATGTATATAGCCATATAAAAAATTACTATAAATCACAATATGATGTATTGTGTATCTACCTCGAATATGAAATTTTAAATTTATAACTATTACTTTCATACATTTTACCTAACTTTTATAAAATGAAAAATAAAATATGAAAAAAAAAATTTTGTTATCAAAATAAAAATAACAAAATTTTTTACTTAACTTAATTTAATTTTATTTCAGTTCAATGTTTTTGATACACTCGTTTGTTTACAATATTTTGTTTCTTTCTTGCCTACACAACTCTTATTACTATCCATTTCTAAATAAAAATGGAATATTTTAAGCATTTGCAAGCAAAATGCAAACGAAAACTAACGGAATGAAACTACTTAATAATAGATATACTATGGTATAAACAAAAATCAATTACTTCGTTTATATGTCAGTCTGCTTATGTACAGTGCTGCCAAGTTACTTGAGAAAACTGAGCTAATTTTGCACAAATATGTATTTATATTTCATTTTTGTATAAATATAAGAATGGCTTTTTTAAGGCCAAAATAAACAAAATAAATTATCTTATAATTTTCATATGAACACATTATGTAAAATTAAATACATATTTTTAATGTTAAATTAAACTAACAGTACTAAATTTGAAGTATTATCAAATTTTTCAGTAAATGTATTTCCTGCATTGAGTGGGTCCTCGATACATTCAACTCATCTAACTATTTTATATTCTTGCAGAAATTCAATTGTAGGAGTTGCCAATCCAGTTTAAAAGATAAGCCTGGTAAATTGTTTTAAATATGTGAACTATGACATTTTTACATTTTTTTAAGATAGAAACATTGTTGAAAAAAAAAATTGCTTGTTCTTTTTAGAGTGAAAACAAAATGCTGTTTTATTCCGCTTCGAAAGTAAAATATTTCAATTTTATAGTGGTGTGCTTCATTATGCAGTGGTTTAACTTTGTCATTTGGATGAAAATGTAGTAAATGTTTGAAAAAAATTTCATCATAAAGAGAACATATCTTTTCACAGCTAAAAGTTTTTGAAACACCAAATTTTAGTTTACAAAACTTGAAAAAACTTTAAATATTGTAAAAATGATAACGTCATTATTTTCAGTAATTTTTGTTCAAAAACTAATGTACCAGACTTGAAATTCATACCTGTTACCTGTAATTTATAATTAACATTAAGAAAAAATATAATTTTGATTTTTTTTTTTTTTATTTATATTTATCCTTTTTCTATTTTATTAAAGAAAGAAAGAAAGAAGTTAAAATAATTTTATTAACAACTTTTTACACTCTTTTATATGAGAATTTTTTTATTCATATCCAATGTCTTTATATAATTTTATTTATGTGGGTTTTTTTTAAATCGAAGTGGCTATTTTTTGAGAAGAAATATTAAAGTGAGTTCATACTTATTATAAAGCAGTTAAAATTTCGAAAATATATTTAAAAAATTAATTAAATGTATTAACATTTTCATTCACAATTATTTTAAAATTCTTAACATACATACAAGCACAATCTTCGCCTTCAACATTTTATATAGTACTGAAATCATTTCATTATGATGTCTTTATATCTAACAAGTCCCAATACTCAATTTTTTTACGATTTTTTGCTTTCGTTCCTGTTTTATTCTTTAAATTAAATATATTGTTGAAATGTATAACACTATATTACTTTTATTAACATTTTTGTTAGCCGCCACCAAAGTATATCTAATAATAAGTAGTTCGACTCGTTCAATTCCGTTAGTTTTCGTTTGCATTTTGCTTCTAAATTTTTAAAATATTCCATTTTTCTTTAGAAATAGATGGTAATAAGAGTTGTGTAGGCAAGAAAGAAACAAAATATTGTAAACAAACGAGTGTATCAAAAACATCGAACTGAAATTAAATTAAGTTAGATAAAAATTTTGTTATTTTTATTTTGATAACAAAATTTTTTTTTTATATTTTATTTTTCATTTCATAACAGTTAGGTAAAAACATTCGAATGTATGAAAGTAATAGTTATAAATTTAAAATTTCATACTTTGTTATACCGTACATACCTATTCAAGGTATGTACAATATGATGTAGTAATATTTATGTACCCCGTTTATATGGCTGCTTCAAGCTTGTCATAGTCTATATAAATGTTACTTGACCTGAAGCCGGCTTCACTCAAGTCGCTTACTTGACTGAAAATGTTAGTAATGATTTGAAACTTAATAGTTAAACGTCACTTTTGGATTTTTAAGCTAACATAATAAAAACGCAGCTTGAGTTTCGAGCTGATTTCACGTCAAGCCGCAATGTAGACGAGACAGAAATTAATAATTTATAATAAAAGATTGCTCTTACCCATTTGCGTGTATGTATGTATATTCATAAGAAATATTTGTTTAAAATTTTTAAAACAAAATTTAAATAAAAATAAAAAATTTATAGTTTATATCACAATAAATGTAATTTTCTTTCTCCCAAAAATTCTTATGTGTATAAAAATTAAAATAAGAAGGTTTGCTGCTAAGTCTTTTAGCTAAGGGAATTTTTTGTATACAAATATTGGTGAGTGATTGCTTTTTTTTTTTTTTTTTTTTTTTCCTTCTTCACTCCTCTAAGGAGCATAGGGCTAGTGCATGATATCTATCATGCCCTAGTTTCTATAGTCATAGAGAGTTAGCTAGGTAGGTGACTAGCCTACCGTAGTTTTTTTATTTATATTACATATTTCAGTTTATTAATATTTTACTGTTTATTTTTCTTTAGTCTTTAGTATCGAATATTATGAATATTTGAAAATTACTTGTATAATATTTATTAGTATTGCATATTAAGTTATATAATATTGAATATAATTTTTATAGTGACCTGACCGGGGTTTGAACCCGAGACCCTTCGTTTAAAGGGCCGGTGCCATAACCACTGCACCAATGGTCAGATTGAGTGATTGCTTTAGTGTGATGTAAACGGAGAGTCGAATTACTTATTAACAGATATACGTTGGCCGACACTACTCAATTTATCTTTTTGAGAAATACAAAATGTACATGGAAAATCATACATTCACATTAACATTTGAAACCATACTGAAATATGAATTTAAAAATTTTTTTCTTTATTCCTACTAATGTCTTTATATATGGAAATGTAAGAAGTCCCAATCAGTGTTGTTATTTTCAACTTGTTTTTTTTTAGAAGGGTTCTGACTTAAAAAAAGGAGTACCGTGAGCTTTGGAGTAGCAATTTGGTGTTACCATTAACATCAAACACAAAGTAAGGCATCTGCCTATATATATTATTTGTTTAAAATTCATTTCAAATCAAATTTCGTTTATGAAAACAATTATATTTTTTCGCAACTTTTTTAATTTTAAGAACAACAAGTTTTGAACAGAATTTTGTAATAAATTAAGATAAGAAAAAAATAGAATAAGTAATATGCATTGCAAAGGGGTAGAGGTATATTTAGTTTTAATAATATATATTATTAATTTATATTTATTGTTTAATAATTATAAATTAACTGGTGGACTATCGTGATAGGCAATCCGTGGTCTCCAATTAGTTTATGAAGAAGCATATAATAGTGGTATATATATGGAAGTGTGACCAGGCATGAAATGAATAAAAGAAGTATATATATTATGTAATATTATTTGAAAAATATCAACTATATTTAGACTTATCCGCAGCTTATGAAGGCTTAGAAATGTGCATAATATTAACTTTAAATATTTTTATTATTTAATAAATATTCTTCTCTTGTTTACTTTTCATTCTTTATTTTATCGATAAAAAATCGTTTGTTGTTTTAAACTTTTTGAATTTGTCATCCACTTAAACAAAAAAAATTTTTCATTGGTTGCCAATAAATTGGCAAGTTGTGATATTTTAGAATATTAGAAAAATTATTGTATACATTGAAATATTTATGCCAATAATTCGCTTATGTAAACACTCATTTAAATTCGAATTCAAACGGCATATTGTGTGTTAAACCTCAACTTTGGCATACGTATATGAATGTACTTCACGTTTTCACGAAATATTTGGAATAAAATAAAAGAACATATGAAAGAAGTAATTTTCAATTTTCACTGGTGTAATTAGAGAAATTCGAATGTAA